CCCCCCCCCCTCACATTCGCCCCAACCCCTCCCCGTGTTTCGAATCCCACAACCGAGAAGTGTGCTCATGCACTGCCAACTCTCCTCCCTCCGCCTCCTGTGCCCTCTGCAGTCCATCCTCTCCCAAACCCTTTCCATACCCCACGTATCAGCGGCAAAAATTAGCAGCATATTTCGTCTTCCTTTCCGCCCACCACCCCCTCCCTCTCCCCTGCGTGACCTAAGCAGGGGATCCACGACACGCAACCATCCGATCCACCCCAGCAGCTCCCCCCCTTCACCTCCAAATCCTACGTCCGTGATCCGTACACAAAGGCCCCCCGCCTTTGGCATCCAGCGTTCAGTGTCGTAAGACGCCCGAAAAAACTTTTTGCAGATCGTGTATGACACCGGCCGAACCGTTCCAGCCGAGTTTCAGATAGCTGCCAACTTGGGGCCAGCCGTCCTGTGTGCGGTGAATTTTGGCGCTTTGCCGTTGGTCTTGTTCTCGTCTGAAATGTGATGAAGTTTATTCTGTGAGTAGCGTCTTCAGGTAGGATGTCGACTATCTCTGGCTCGGTTGGCGGAGCAGCACTGGGGATGAGTACGCCCACAGGCACTGCACAGGTCAGTCCAGGTGCTCGTATCCTGGCTCACTTGCCGAGTTCCAGTGGCCCAAAGCAGCAAGCAAGTCCCAGTGCTCAGCAGCCAGCACAACCGCCAAATGCGTTGTCCACTCAACGGCCGAACAGTTCCGATGCGTGCCCCACAATCACTCAGTGCTTAATGATGTACCATACGGTAAGTGTGATAATGTGACCGAACGCTGGTGACTTTTCCGACCGCTCAGTAGGACAGCGAGCACAGATTGGCGTGCGTGAAAAATCTGCTCCGAACGTAAGGCACTTTTTCTGCTCGCGTGCCACTGTCATACGAAGAGCGGTTGTCAAGTGCAGGGGAGGCACTGCATGCCTGTACAGCCGTGATAATCGCGGCTGTTCTGTTGCTTCCCTCTCACTTTGATAAGTCGGAGTTTCCGCTGCATTTCGATTCGTTGAAGGACCAGTGATGAGCAGTGCCAGCGGGGAGTTAAGAAGAAGCATACACTGGTCAGTTTTTGTCGTCCAGTGGGCATCGAGTGCGCACGGCGCCTAGTGTTTAATAGAAGCATTGTTGAGACCGGGCAAGATTTACATGTGAAATGGGCCAGAAATTTGCCTTTGTGTTACGAGTTTTGCTGGGTCAGCTGCGGCTGAACTCGAGTAGTTCTGAAGGGCGGATTTGGGGGCTCTTTTTTAGGGCCGAAGTGCAGAAGTTTATTTTATCACACTCCGTTTTCATCTGGGCGCCTTCTAGGGACGCGATGAGGAATTCAGCCGTAAGGCGATCGAAAGTCTGATTAAGAAGCTGAAGGATAAACGTGATGAGTTGGACGCGTTAATCGCCGCTATCACATCGCATGGGAAGATTTCATCGAAATGCATCACGATCCAGCGCACTTTAGATGGGCGACTGCAGGTAACGATCACGTTCATTTTGTATCGAGATTCCTATATTGGGGATTCGCACTTTGGTTGGCCGGCTGCGGGCAACTAACACATTTCTATCTTATTCACTCTCATGTAGGCCGGTTCCAGGAACTAGCATCTGTTCCCCCTTCGTCTTGCCCCTTTTGGTCAGCTGTTGAAACTTTGATTTAGCAGCTTTGTCATGGGGTTCACGCGATCAGAATCTGCGCACATCTAGTGAATTTGCGGGCTCGTTGATGTTGCGGCGGGTATTACGCCTTGAATTTTTCCGCCTTTTTTGGGTTGGATGATCGGCCGTGCACTATTCTAAAATTAGAATATTTTTATGTCAGCTTAGACTGAGATTGCGAGTCCTGAAAGCTGGTTTCGGCTCATCCAGCTTGCATCAGGTGGTGGTTTTAAGCTGTAAAATTTCGAATGTGTGCAAAGCATGGGCGCTTTTGAAAAAACAAATGCCAATGTCTATCGGAAAGGCCAATCGAGGCAAAAGTGTTTAGAATGTTTCTTCGCAGCTTTATTGGTTGACAAGCGTCGTGTGGCGTACAAGATATCGTTACGACCAAGAGCGCAAGTAAACTTGACTAGGTGGAGCACTTCCATTTTGTTTATAGCAAACTAAAATCGAATATCAGTTGGCAGTAGATTTACTGGTATGATTTCTGTTAAACTCTTGGAGATATATTGTTTAACGGAGATGAATGAGTACGAACTGACAGCTGGTGTCTGGACTTGTTGGATGTGTTTGACATTTAGGCTGCATCTTGAGACCACTTTGTGATGCGTAACGTAAGGTCTGGAAGGTTTTAGCAAGATTCAGTTGGCATCGAACTGAGCGATACTTCACGCTCAATTCTGGGAAATCTTATCACATAAAGTAAAATGGAGGGAGGAGGGGGGAGGAGGTGGGGAGTGTTTGATTTGGAGAAACGTCTGGTTCAGAAGTTATAAAAAGCAAGACGACGGAAATGTTTATGGCTTATTTGCAGGTAGCTGGCAGGAAGGGCTTCCCGCATGTCGTCTACGCACGTATTTGGAGGTGGCCTGATCTACATAAGAATGAGTTGAAGCATCTGCCGATTTGTCAGTGTGCGTTTGATTTGAAATGTGATCTTGTAAGATTTTTGAATCTTATTGCGCATGACTTCATACGTACGATTGAGTGGTTACATTTTCAAGCAAGTACAAGATGTATCAGTGGGCGGTAGTGCTAGTCCTGATATTGCCGATCTCATTGTTAGCCATGGAGTATCGGTTCCTTTATAAGAATTCCGGGATTCATCATCTCTTTCAATATATCGATGGTCAACTTTGTTAGAATCGCCAGTAATGTCTGCGGGCCCAGCTTGCAAGTTAAAAGCACTTACTCTGGAGAAAGGGCTTGTTTTTTAGACCTCGAAATTTTATGCCAATAGAGTAGATGCATTTTCAGCGTATACAACAAGACCTTGGGCTACCCATTTATTGTAAATCACGGAGGGTATCCAGATAGCGATTTGAACTAAACGATGCAAGAAGTGTCATTATATCGTAGCCTTTTCGTTATGCTCCTATATGCACTCTTCAAGAGAAGTTCCATGACTGGGCTGGATGGCTTATAACTATAGGCAAAAAAAAAAGTTTCCTATTGACAAAATAGTACGCTCCGTTCTTAAATTCCGGTTCAGGAACTGATCAGTACTTAGCACATTCATCTTCCGTGATGATTCAAGAATTAAACGCCTTACCAGCACGCTGTTTTCATAAAAAGCTTCTAATAATTACATATATTGGTTTTCCGTATCACGGGTTAACTCTTTTTCTTCTCTCTCACTCTGTTTGCTGTCTTACTGATTTCTCTTTCTTTCGTGTATCCGTCTTGCAAATTAGATACATGACTGTTCAGGACATGGTGCGTAGAAGGCTGTACTGATAATTCCCACTCCTACCCGCTTGCATAGTTCGGTCTGTGTTTACAGCTAAGGGATGAAATACAGACTACATCGTTAAATGTCTTCCTACTTAAGTCCAGTTCTACTATTTCATTAAGTATGGAATGCTGATATCGTTTTTGTTTGGATAAGTCTCTCAGGTTGCAGGTTTGCGTCAACCCATACCACTACGAACGTGTTGTTCCTCCGGGTATTGGTACTCTGGACCTGTCGAACCTGAAAATTGGGCATCGTTCAGCTTCGCAGGACAGCTCGACCTTAATATCACCAAGAAGCACAGAAACTTGTGAAGATGTAGTGAAGTGATTTCTTTTTAAAATATCAGAAGCCGACAAAAGTATCAGTCATATATGGAGTCATTTAAGACTGAATTACGAAGAACAGAGCCTACAGGACACCATCTGGCGACCTATTACTAATAATTTCTTCAGTTTATGCGTGTTTTTCACCTAGAGTGCGTTTTATGAAGCAGCACGAACTTTCATTTACTTTAGGAGCTCTCCACGTAACGGGAATGAACTCTGGGATGCGAAAAGACTAGCGTATGCATCTTCGACATCTCACACCCCGAATGTTGTCAAAACAGGTAGCTTTTGTGGTGCAGAGGCTGCTTTTTTGTCTCATATTCTTCTGACGGTTGAAGAAAATGTTGGCTGTTCACTGGAAAGACTGTGATGAAGTATTACAGAGGGAAAAGTATTACCCGTGGACGATCATCCATCGTACAGTGGCGCTGCTGAGTTACACGTAATTCCAGATCAGCCTGCATGGAATAACAGCGAGTTGAGTGCGATGCCACCACTGGCACCTGTTCCGTCACAGATTCGTAGGTTCAACTGTAATTGTAAAATTTTGAAATGAAAACTAACTTTGTTTTCCCTGACTTCTTAGGAGACTTATTCGTTGATTCTGGCAGCTTTGGCACAAAAAGCACACACGCATATAACTCAGTTACTGCAAATGCTCATAAATTAAGCGATTGGTTTGTGCCCATTTAAATCATCAGAGATTCTTGATAAGGTTGCACATGGAACTCACTCACAGGGTAATACACAAAATTCACTTTCTGTGAAAGCTTCATAGAAATGCAGATTGGCATTGAAGAAATAGTAATACGCATTTTTGCCTGCGCACTGAAAATTGTAAAGCAGCAGAGGGATTTTGTGTTGACAGCTAAGTATTCGAATTCATCTGTTCACTGCGCTCGTGATTAGTGATGAAAAAAATTATTGTTCTGATTTATAGAAAAAAGACGTGAATGAAAGATACGCTTTGCTGTCTGTTTAGTACAGTACTCGAGAATCGATCCATGGGGCTCGTTAGTAGCTATATTTAAGGCGAAACAGTACAGATGAACAACTGTAGAAGTGGAAAAAGTAGGTTAGATGTTTCCAGATAACCTACGGGATGTTTTCTGTAGTCACAACAGATACTTTTCAACTTAACCACTTTGCTTGTTTCTGGTGTATAAGTGATAAAGTCGTGAAGCCGCAGTTGGTGAGTTGAGAGATGTAATAGTGAGTTAGGCGACCGCAGCAGCATGTTATAGCACATGTTCAGCGATTTTTCGCTATTTCAGTTTTCCTCAAAGACCATTGTTGATATAGTCTACTCTGAAAAATCCTGTGCCGACAGTGTGACGAGGACGGGAGATTGCAAAAAAATAGAATACACTATCGAGTAGTTCTTGCCTAATGTTAAGTGAAGTCTGAGGTAGATAGATTTGTAATCATGTATGGGATTTTGTGGATGCTGAAGTAAAAAAGATGAAAACCCTGTCAGTCATAGTGAAGTCGAAAAGCAGGGCAGCGATGTAATGAAATTGCCTGGGCTGCCGTATTTTCTTCGGGTATTGTGGGATTAGAATTGCTGAATTTTTTTTTTTTTTTTTTTTTTTTT